GTTAATTTCCCACACACGAGATTACTGTGTGATGGATGTCCTCCCCTGGGGTGGGATGTGTGGGGGGAAAAAGGTGAGGTCGTTACATGGACTAAAGCGGCTGCCAGAGGCGCCTGATAATGCTGACGTCCAATCTCAACCTTAGTAACATTGTAGACCTTAGCAATTCAGCCTATGCTACTATTAAGGTATCGAATCATTCACTTTCAGTTTCAGTTCACTTTCACTTTCAGTTTCTATATAAGTTAGGGGGGTGTCTCATATATACCAGAAATTATGTACATTAAATACATACCTCTTACAAATTGAATTTGATCTGTACTGTTAGTTATGGACCAATTAAGTTTTTCCTGCTCAGATTTTTGGCTCAGTAGCAAAGTGCATGGGCCACAAATCTAAGCGGAAAAAGTAAAGGGGCTTTCTTGTATACCAAGTGCCTGTAGAATTAATACTGGCTATCAATACTTCTTTCATGAATAAGATTTTGGGAAGATACTTATCTACAGCTCTCACATTTTCAAAGGAAGTCATAAGTTTTGTTTTCATCAGTTAGTTTGAGTTTTTTTTTGTTTTTTTTTTATTCAAAGGGAAACTACAGAAAGAAATGGTTCAAGAAAGTTTCATTGAAAAGTGATGTAAGTATGTAAAATTAGGTTGTTTGCCACCTGGCAGGTCCTATCACAGGAAAAAAATGTAGCAAAGAGCCATACTCAAGACAATTGCTTAATTACCAGTTAAATTAGTTGATCAATAAGTTTATTGATTTATTATTACTTGATATGCAAGCTCAGCACAGTGCATCCTGCGCATAGGTTATAACCTCAATTTGTGCCACAAAGTAGCCTCCTTTTCTTCCGATGAAATTTCCAAGGTCCTATGAATTCGGATGCAATTAAGTTTTACATTTTGCCCAGTAACACTGACAGTAGATTTATTTGTTATTAGACATGTGCAATTTGTTTGGATGATTTCATACACAAAGAAGAAATCAGTATTTGTCGATGTGGGCATGCTTACCATCACAAGTGAGTCAATATCTGTTTTTGCTTCTTATTCTTGACTTCTTTTATTGTTCATTGAAGATTATTACTACGAATCTACTAAATTTTAATTTTACCTAGATTTACCTTGAGGGGTTACCACTTCAAGTCATACATGTTTTTGGTTTTTACAATTCATTATCCGCTCTGTAAGTTCACACACATTTGCTGTTTGAAATGTTCAGGTGTATAATGAAGTGGATGGAGATTAAAGAGACATGTCCCATTTGTCAGCGGAACTGCAGATGTGAAAATAACAATGGAAGCGAGAGAACCCCATTGCTTACGAATCCTTTGGATATATGAATGTACTGACTCCATGATTTACGAAGTGTATTGAGTAAGACAAGTCCAAGTCACTCAGGAGCAACACAGTGGGCTGTAGAGTTAAATGTCTCTGACACAGACATGACTTTGGCTGGTGAAATTAAGCTTGATTTGATGATCAATGTAAAATTTTATCCCTTTAACTCCTAAGAAGTGATTGTTAATTCTTCCCTCTAGCTGCTTCATATTTCTAGCCTTTTAAATCAGTTACAAGAATTTGTTGTTAGATCAAGATAACCTCTACCACATAAGTAATTTGAGTATCCTCATTATACCTAGCTGTTTGTTGGATAATTTATGGATATTTTAAGGAGAAGTTAAATTTTAATCACCTGTGGGAGTTAAAAGGTCAAGAGTACCCTATGAGTTGGTTTGTGAGTTGGTAAACAACGTACCTAAAGCAGAATTAACTCTTATTTCATATTCAACAAGGAAAATTGGAATTACATGCAAATAGTTCTGTTAAATTACTGAAAGAAATTTCTCAAAAATCTGCAGACATACCACTGCTTATAAAAAAAATCAAACCGCTCGAATTGTCTATTATTATGAGTTAGTTTTTATATGAAGTACTTAGAGGTTTGAAAGTTATGGACCAAGTTTTTTCTGCTTGGACTTATAACCCAAGTGCAAGCACAAGGGCCATAAATCTGAGCAGAAGAGTCTGTAGGAGAAACAACTGAAGGTTTCATGACTTTTGATATACACCAAGAAAACAAGGCTTAATTATTCTTTTATTATTTAATTGTTTCTCTGTGGTGTATTAGGAGGAGGGCAGAATTTCAATTCAAACAAACTTTTGAATTTATAGGGCAGTACAGTGAAACATGGCCTGCTAAATTGACCAATCATGTCACTCACACTGAAAGATATTATGAAATTCTCATATTTTTCTAGCTTTACATTGAGTAATAGACAAGCCTTGTCCAAAACTCTATCGCAGTGCATTGATTCAACCCAGGTTTGTGTACAATATTGGAATTTATTACACAACTCGGGCAGTCAGAGGGCCAATAACTAAAATCAACCAATCAAAATGCTCTATTGCCAGTCAATGTTCTCTCATTATTGGACCGGGCGCTGTCCCGAATGGTCCCGAATGACACCGCACTAGTGTCCCTTTGAACTTCAGTCGTATAATAAATCTCTTATTAACCAAGCTTGCTCGGGACCGTACTGGAAAAATATCGGCCCTCGCTCTTTTTTGTACAGACCTCGCTGTGCTCAGTCCTTACTGTCAAGACCTCGGGCCGATATTCTCCC